GTATGTGTATGTGTATGTGTGTGTATATGTGTGTATATATGTATATGTGTAAGTATATATTTATCAGTCTGGCGAGTAAACAAAAAAATTTACTAGCCAATGGCGATTCAATTGCCAAGGTGTTCGTAGAGGGCTGCATTTCTCTATAAGTCCAATGGAAAATCAGGAAACCTGTTTGAAAACAGTCATTATTTTTGCAAAAACATTGAAAGAAATATTAGTGCTTGTTAAGGCAGCAAATTAACTTTAGGTAGCGATAGACCAATAAACTGCTTTTAATCATTTTTTTAACAATATTTACACTTTTTCACAGTTATCGGTTCTTGAATATCGGTTTTACGCCATCTTAAGTTTAAGTGAAAAAAAAAAAATAGCACCTACTGTAATAGTGCCATTAAAACACTGTGATCAACATAACAACACAGTTCACAGTAGTGGTCGATCGATATTGGAATGCTGACGGCAAACAAGAAAGTATTATAATGTTTGCCTTTCTATTACTAATAATATAAAAGCAATCGTTATAATACTTTTTGTATACATTTTAATTCCTTTGTTTAACCGTTCTATCTGATTATTAGACAGACGTATTAGATAATCCATATTAGACAGAACTGAAGGACAACAGCGAACAAGAGGGAGAATGTAAGCACTGTGTGCTCAGGTGCTGCCGTTCTCAGCGACGTCAAAATAAAAGTCCCGCCTCGAACGCATCGGCCAAACAGGAAAACTTATCGGCCGATGCCGATATTTAAAAAATGCCAAATATCGGCCGATATATCGGCCTTGGCGATATATCGGTCGACAACTAGTTCACAGGTACAGTAACTTAACTTAACTTAGTAACTCAATTGCTTACATAAATAATTACACTTTCTATTATTATATAATACAGAAATAAATTATTATCGGTTATACATATTTATGCGTTTGGCAGACGCTTTTTTCCAAAGCTGGTGCCATGCTCTACTGGTAGAGCTACAGCAATGGTTATTGAATGCATATTATGCATATTGATTATACAATTATACCATAATAATAATCAGTATTGGTTGTTAAAACAGTTTTGGTTGATTTCTAGTTTTTGGTAAATTAAATGATGAAGTTAGAGAGTAAGAGAGAGAAACTGATAATGCGCAGAAGAGAAGAATAAATTGACATGAGAACAAAAGTCCTACTACAATTCACTATGCAAATATTGCAATGACAGCTTCACTCTTGAGTGGCAAACATTTTGAGGGGCTTTCACACAGTTGTTGCTTTAAAAACAGCTAGATGAGTGCAGTGGTATTTAGCAGAAGTGGTGCATAAATGTGCATTAACTCTCATAAAATGTTGCTAATTAGGGATGCACCGATACCACTTTTTCCAGTACTCGCCCGATACCGATACTTTTATTTTTGGTACTTGCCGATACCGAGTACCGATACCGATATTTTTATTGCATTTGTACATTTTTTTTAATATTGGGTATAGAAACCAAAAGGGTATGTATAATGTTAGTTGGTTAACTTCATTTATCAAATAGATACAGTCAAACCAAAATCTATTTAGACACCTTCATCTTTTCTCACATTATCACAGTTTATTCGCTATAGTTTAGAAAATGGTAATAAAATATGACAAGAACTCAGAGTTACACTGTGTCAGAACAAATTCATCTTGATAATGCTAGATAATTCTGATAGAAAGGGAGAAAGGTATATTCACTCGACAAGCTCGCGCATCTGCGCCGCTGCGCGCTCAATCCTCTCAGCGTGCTTTGTTTATCAGCTCGCGCACATCAGCTATACAGGCATTAATACTGAATGTTTTATATTCATTGCATACATATACTTCGTAGTAGACACCCTTAACTCCTTTCTGCTGGCTGTTGTTCTGTTGTTCTGTTGTCGGTGTTTCTTTGTTTGAATATGGCGCTTATCACATGCTGTGTGGTATCGGCGTTTGGTATCGGGGCATTTTAACGAGTATGAGTACGAGTACAGGAGCTCAGTATCGGGCCCGATACCGCATCCCTATTGCTAATGTATATGCTCAATACACTGACGATCACATCTGATTGGTCTGTTGTTGTAAAATTGCACTGCTTGTCAAAGTTGGACTATTTTTAATTTGAAAATGTCTTTAAAACATTGTGTTCATGAGTGTGATACACTAAAAAAAGCCAACAGCATTAATTTCTTGTGTGTATGTACAGTAGACCAGTAATTAAAATAGCACAAAATATAAAATCCTGACATTTTATACCCTATTTTATATCCTTCTCCAGAACTGTCAGGAATGATCAAGAGCAGCAGGATTATCCTTGCTTTTCTAAAAAATTATTTTTTTATGTACTATGCAGACATTCTCCAACATTTATAAGCAAAGCTCCCTTCACAGTCCACCCAGACCATTTATCAAAATAAATCCACAAAAACGGGTCATTCAGTAATCATTCAACCACAAGCACATTAAGATATGACCTTCTACATTTGCAACAGTTACACATTAATCATGAACTTGATAAATGTTAGTTTGAAATTCACCCATATATACAGGCTAGCCAATCAAAACAGGGCTCATTTACATATAAAAATGTTAAAGGTATGGTAAACAACCCGTTTAATTCTAAGTGTCAGATAGAGGGTCATGTGAAAGTATATTACAGTGGTTTTGGTGCAAGATACCTTGATTATCATTGTAAGTGGATTTTTCCTGACCTTTACTTCTGACAAACTGACCGTAGGACTCTCCGTTCTACATGAACTATGAGATGGACCTGAGGGAGAGCGCTCTGGGAGAGGGAAGCTTCTCCATCTGCAGACAGTGCACTCACAAAAAGACTGGACAGAAATACGCTGTAAAGATTGTCAGTAAAAGGTACCAGCTATACAGCCTGCTAACAGAGTTTTTCTGATGTATTTAAAGTTCAGTTGAATTATATAGGCTAATAGTCATGGAAGTAATTTGTATTTTATTGTTCTGCAGAATGGAGGCACAAACACAGAAAGAGATCGCTGCTCTCAAACTGTGTGATGGACATCCCAACATAGTCAAGCTACATGAGATCTACCATGACCAGGTAAGACAGTGTTTAAGACTGAAACCTAGAGCTCATGTGCACTTCAATGCCTCATTCTCTCAATGAACTGGGCTAGCCTGAATAAGTTTGAACTCTCTTTGTCCTCGTACCTGCCCCAGATTTAATTCCGCAGGGCAGAAAAAAATAGAAGTGCATCAGATTTGCTTTGCCAATGCAAGTCGATGGGAGACTAAAAACAAACTAAAAAAAACTAGATTACGAACCTATGACAGCTTGTACAATAAGCAATGTAATAAACTTTGTTTTAGAATTACGAAAAGTATGATATTTCATCAAAATAAAATAATTTTTCTGGGCAGAAAAAAAGTTTATTAATCAGTAACATTTCAACTTCCTGTCGATTCTGTAAAATCTAGGGATGGGCATTTCAAGCAAAAATACTATTCGAAAATCACTGGGTATTATTCGATTATTATTCGAAAATCGCACCCCTCCCCCGCATGTACGCACTCATAGGCTACACACCCATAAAAGGGAAAGACATCATTCACGCTTTCAGTCTGTATGTTAACAAACTGTTAAATTCATTAGGGAATAGGCTATCTAAACTCAAGCCATATATTGATTATAACGTGCTGAAACATATTAAAATAATATAACCGAATGACGGCACTTAATAATATAACAGTCCGTCGATTAGCATAAACTGCTCATAAGGCTAGGACATTTCCATTTCAAAAATGAGCATTAATAGCAATTTAAAACGAAAATCAAAAGTTTAATTAATTCATCCATGAATATCACCTCAAGTCATAATGACTTTATAGGTCTAAACGCCTTAAAACATATTGTGAACAGCCTGAATGACGTCACTTATGTGAACATTAATTTTAACGTCTGTCTTCATAACAATAACCTATCTTATATTTTTATTATAAAACTGAGCATGTCCACATGTTCGGGATGAAGACGGGAGTGCAATCTGTTCACAATTTTAGTCCGGCCGCAGAGAACAAACAGATAGCAAGCACATTCGGGCTGATTCCGGCTGAAATGCGGCACTGTCTCGGCATCGGTGAGAAAATAGTGGGCCAGAGCCGTGCCGACGCTTCAAAACACTTCTGGATGTCAGACGGCTTTTTCTCCATGGACCGATCTCGGCTGAAAGCTGTTGTACGTGCGGCAGGTCCACACTCGTTGTAGTTGTGTGTATTTACCTTTGGCCCGAGCTCGTTTTGTCACAGGTGGGCTGCTGCTAGTGCTAGATTAAGGAAATCCGCCGCCGGAGAAAAAGATTTGGTGGTTAAATCTTGACGCAAATCTACAATATGCGCGTGAGACAATGTTGTTGTTCTTCTGTTGTCTTGTCGGTTTTGTGGTTTTGTGTGGACGCAGATATTTCTTGAGACGATGGGAAAAAAAAGATCGGATAGGGAAAGATCTGGCTTCGTGTGGACGTAGCCAGGAGAAAAAGATTTGGTGGTTAAATCTTGACGCAAATCTACAATATGCGCGTGAGACAATGTTGTTGTTCTTCTGTTGTCTTTGACAGCTTTTAGGTGCGTTATTGGCGGCGCCACCCTCTGCTTACACCAGCACATCAGCACCGAAAACATGGAGAATTATTGTCTAAAAAAATCGCATAGCCTATTCGATAATCTATTATTAAATCAACTAATCGAATATTCGAAGTAAAGTAAAATCCCAATGGGTAATGTTAAATGCCACCCTAAATTATTTCCCCCAAAATATTCTGTTCATTTGTAAATTACATTACATATCCAAATGTACTGTGTATGTCATGCCATGTCATTGTCACCACCATGGTTAGGAGGTGTTGAATTTTACCTTTAGCTCCTTGCATTCGTTCTTATCATGTAGACAACAGGTTAAGTAAAACTATGAATATAAGTGCATAAATTTAGCAAAATGCTCCTATTTATAGTTATTTTTTTCTAGCTGACTGATGAGCTTATGTGTTAATCTAGTCATTAGTCCCTTGTTTGAGTTAGTATAAGTACTCCCCATTCTGTTCCTTATGTTGTCTGATGTTGTTTGATGTTACCCTGTGTGAGAACTTCTTCATCTTGTGGATTATCTATTAAAAGGATTTATTTCTATTATCATCATCGTGCCTTCATCATACTTGCAGCAGTCGGTGTGACAGTCATGTTTACAAAGTGATTTTTTTTTCTTTTCTTTTTTTTAAATACACACTACTGTTCAGAACTTTGGGGTTGGTAAGAATTTTTTTTAAATGTTCTTGAAAAAAGTGTCTTATTTTCACCAAGGCTGCATTTATGTGATCAAAAATGCAATAAAAGTGTAATATTGTGAAATCATTACAATATAAAATGTTTTCTATATTAATATTTACAATTTTTATAAATTCCTTTAATGACAAAGCTGAATTTTCCGCAGCCATTACACTAGTTTTCAATGTCACGTGATCCTTCAGAAATCAGTCTAATTTGCTGATGTATTGCTCAAGAAACATTTGTTATTAATGTTGAAAACAGTTGTGCTGCTTCAGGGGTCCAGACAAAAAAATAAATTAAGGAGCCATTGGCTTCTATAAGAAACGAAAATTAGGTGCCAAATAATTTTTTTAGGTGCCACAGAATAAACGTGTTTTATTGTTTTTTTTTAACACTTTAACATTTCAGTCATACTGTCATGCATCATCCCCGGTGGGGATAAAAAAAATATCCCCAGGGTGATGCTATCCCACCAACTACCAACAAAGCACATAAAATACCAAAAATAAAAATATTTTTTATTAAATAAAATACTGCAACATGACAATACAAACAACAAAAAAATCAGAAATGTACTTTGACTGTCAGTGCTCCCGCTTAATAGAGACCGCCTGGGTTTTGTGATCCTGGTTCACGCACCTTAATCCATGCAGGGCTTTTCAGAAAGTCAGCGTGCGTGACAGTATGCAATGTTTTTGCTCAAAACTCTCTCTACTGTGACCTAATGCATTTATTGTAATTAATAAACTGACACATAAATGTAGCTATTATGAGACAGAACGCAGAAGTTTAAAATCACCGTAATGTAATTATGATCACGCAATATTGACTGATGGATCAGAAGAGAATCGTCTTTCTGCGAGTCATTTAGAAATTATGGTTCTATTCTATTCTATTTAAAGAAATATGAGGTAAACGTGTGAATACACAATGTGTGCTTTTTGAGCGAGATGCTAACGGTCTAATCGGATTCAATGATCTATGCTAAGCTATGCTACCGCCAGTCCCAGAGATCGGCTGAATGGATTCGAAAACAGTAAAACTCAACTTTTTAACTCTAGGGGAGTTGGAAAATTAGCCTATTTTCAAAAATAGTGGCGTGTTCCTTTAAAGGGCGCCGAAACTTTATTTATTATTCGAATTTCGTTATGAATTTGGCAGAATTTCTAAAGCTGATACTTTGTTTAATAAATGTAACAAAGCACACAGCTTATTGCGATTAATTGACGGCAAGTGCGCTGCAAATAAGTTCACGCATTAACAGAAGAACACAGCAAGATCTTTATAACAAGAAGTATCGATTATAAATGAATTGTTAACGATATATTGTTAATGTCCACACAGCTGACAGCTTTACCTGTTGTAGTTTGTTCAAGTTGCGCATGAATTAGACACTGATTTTCTGCACTTTTATTTCGCACGTCTCCGCTCTCTCATGCTGCACAACTGAAGCTGCTTTCAGCAGGTGTGCCGTCAGCACTGCTGCTCGGCAGAGATGAAGACTGTTTGAAAGTCTTTTTTCCACTAAAACTTTAATGCGCATCGTCTCAGTTTATTACGTCAACATAACAAAAGATGTGATCGCTTGTAAAAGTTTGTATGTTGTGTAGCACTGATCAAAAATAAATGGAAGCAAACGCGATTGAATATGTACAGGTTTGTGTCATTCTATTCAAAATATAATTAACTCACGATTGATTTTGCATTCCTGGCAGAAATAAAAACTATTAGTGTCATTGTAACCAAGTATTATCATAAATAGTTGTCAAATATCGAAGCTCCACTGTGATCTGTGATATATTTTCAAGGGGGAAAAAAAAAGATTTTTTATTTTTTCAAAACATCCCCCCCCTCTGGTTTGCTCACAAATCGCACCCTGCTGTCATGGGTTTATGTCTCATCT